CCGAACAATGCTAGGTAGATTGTTCCTGAATTTAGGCGCTAAATACGAAAATGATCTGCCGCCCGCAGTTGATATACACATTCTTTGTAAAAATTCATGACATTTACTAGCAATTTCAAAGTAAATCCTACACCACATTTGTGTGTGCGTGTGTGTGTGTGTGTGTGTGTAATAACCAGTATTACACATATAAGTCCCTTATGATAGTTCAGAGACATGCATGACTCATCATTGGCACATAATTGAGTGATTCATCTGTGGTGAAAAACCAAAATACCCCAATAACCAGTGTGTGTTAGTGACATTATTATGTGTTTTCAGAAGGACTGCACAAAATCCCCACAGGATGTTGAATTTGAATGACAAGAAGAGGAATTTACTAAATTGAAGTGAACAGTCACACAAGAAAAGATTTTCATTACCACAATGTAGATTACAGCAAAGAGTAATTTTCCAGCTAAAGTCAGTTCATTGACCTCGGAATAAGAATGGTCTTCTAGGAGCATCTAGTTGACTTGGTCTCCACTGAGATTCAGGGCTGTAGAGGTCGTCTCTAGGTGCTGATCCACCATCTGGTCTGGATATGGACTGGATCAGGGTGACTACAGTGACCATCTGATCTGGATACAGACTGGATTCATATGGCTACAGTGACCTCAGATTAAGAATAAAACAGACTAATATTAGCGTAGATGCCATTCTTCTTATGATGTAACAAGTTCATCAGGTGTTTTGGGAAGTGTTCCCGGTTCCGGTTGACATAATTAATGAGCCTAACAATACTTTAACGGATTTGAATTATAGAAATGTGATAGTGTATTATGTGTATGCCAGGCTAAAGAGATGGGTCTTTAATCTAGATTTAAACTGACAGAGTGTGTCTGCCTCCCGAACAATGCTAGGTAGATTGTTCCTGAATTTAGGCGCTAAATAGGAAAATGATCTGCCGCCCGCAGTTGATATACACATTCTTTGTAAAAATTCATGACATTTACTAGCAATTTCAAAGTAAATCCTACACCACATTTGTGTGTGCGTGTGTGTGTGTGTGTTAAACCATTCAGGGCTTTATAAGAATTTAGCAAGATTTTAAAATGTATTCTTTGTTCAATAGGGAGCCAGTGCAGAGTTGACAGAACTGGGCTAACATGGTCGTACTTCCTGGTTCTAGTAAGAACTCTAGCTGCTGCATTTTGGACCAGCTGGAGTTTGTTTATTAAGCATGTGTCAGAGAGTCACAGTCACTTCAGTCACCACAGTCACCACAGTCATCACAGTCATCAGCACCGACATTCACAAGATCACAATCGCCTGCATTCTGATTCCCCGCACCTGCTGCAGCTAATCAAGCTCCCCTATATGCTCACCTCACACAAGATCAACGTCCGGTCTACCGTTCACATCCCTAAACCTAGCCTGACTCACATTCTAATTACCTCTGTGTCTCCTAGCCTGTGTCGTGACAGCGTGCAAAGCAACCACCCAATATTTTGCTCCGGCCTCTTGCGGCGGTGGACATGCTGGAGGAATTGGTCAATACCCTTCAAGCAACCCTCATGCCGGCATCAGCCCCTGTATGTCCCATGGCCATCCCTGCTTCCTATGCAGGTGACGCAGCTGGGTGTGGCGGCTTCCTACTCCAAGTCTTTCTCTTCATGGAGATGCAGCCACAGAGGTTCACCACCGTGTGATTTAAGGTAGCGTTTCTCATCTCTCTGTTAAGTGGCAAAGCGTTGCTGTGTGCGAAGGCGATCTGGAATGCCCAAAGTGTCATTATTAACTCCTATAAAGCTTTCTCCAATCATTTCAAGGTGGTTTTCAGTGTGGCCGCTGGAAGGATGTCTGTGAAAGACCAACTCTTGCGAGTTTACGGCAAGGGGCATCATCTATTGATGAATATACACTGGAGTTCCGCACGCTTGCCGCTATCAGCGGATAGAATGAGGCCGTGCTGCTGAGTGCTTTCCGCCTGGGGCTCAATCCCCGCATTTGTGCCCAGATGGCGATTTACGACGACAACGTGGGGGTGGAAAACTTCATGCAGCATGCCTCCTGCATTTTGCAACGCCTGACTGCCTGTGATGAGGACAAAGGAGCACACCAACAAGCCTCACCCGCCTCCGGTCCCTCAGTACCAGAACCCAAGCAAATGGATTATCCCGCACTGAGCGTGCTCACCGCCTCGCAATTGGACTATGTCTGTATTGTGCCTCTCTGGATCAT